AAGGAGTGATACATGTTTAATGAGATATGTTTACCCTGATAGAAATATTACACAATATAAACACTGAAACATTACATGGTACTCTACTATCTTTTAAATTTTGTGCTTTTATGTATCAGTTAAAAATTAAATGTAAATCAGGCACAGTGGTATACACCTATAATCCCAGCACTCTGGGAGGTTGAAGCAGGAGGATCAGGATCTGGGAGGTTGAGGCAGGAGAATCAAGCCCAGGTTGGGCAACTTGGTGACTTAGCAAAACTCTGTTTCAAAATATTAAAAAAGGGCTGAGGATGTAGCCCAGTGCAAATTCCCTGGACTCAATCCCTACTATCGCCACCCTCCAAATTACTGCAAAAATTGTTATAATAAATTTTGTTACACATATTTTGCCACAATAAAAACTATGAAAATGTCTTAATACATGTACTTGATATTCAAAAACACTCTTTGAAGATACAGAGGGGGTACCAGGATCCTGCATTACTAAGGTATGAGAACTAAGGCTCGGAGCAGTCTACATCTGCACAGAAACTTCCAGGGATCTGGCTCTGATGCAGTTGCTGGATCTGAGTGGGGTTCCTATCTGCTGCCAGGTGATGCTGCAGGTCTACAGAATATAATCTTGAGTCAGGACCAGGAAACAGCTGGACTGACTTTCAAAACCTGATTCTTTACACTCAAAACTGAGGATCTAAAACTCTTTCAGGCATGTCCCTCAGGAAAAAAAAAAAAAAATGTCTTAAGCCTCACAAGGAGTTGGAGAAGAGAGGACTCAGTGAGAAGGAAGCTCCAAATCATCCTGATGCATTGATCAACTCAGATATCCCCAGAGGACCACAGTCAGGCTCACTGTGTTTGTGAACACTCCACGGGGAAACCTTTTGTATTATTTAGATTGATTTTTTAAAAGATTACCTGTATGTTAGCTAAATTAAAACTCTGATGGTAACTAATTTGATTACAAACTAGTTGAACTAGCTAAAGGATTTTTTAAACAAGATTATCAGAAGTTTTAATTTCTGTATCATACTGAAAATACCTGTCTGTTTGTTTGTTTCTTTGCTTGCTTGCTTTAAATACAAATCCCCAGGTCCCACACCCAGAGACTCAGATTCAATTGGTCAAATGTTTTTGTTTTGTTCTGTATTTAAATTTCTAATAGTAGTCAGGGATGGGAACCACTGACCCAAGTTGTAATAACAACCCAAATTCAAGATATTTAATAAACTTCATTGGCCTCTTTTCTTGTTTGACTTTAGAAGGATCAGAAGAAATCTGGTATATTCTATTTACTAACAGCAAATGCAAATGAGGTGCTTCAGCTATTTTGTTGGGTCTAAATTTGCTTCAGGAGCAAACTTTATGCAAAATAATGCAACTTCATCACGTGTCCCCAGGAACACAAAGATTTATTTTAGCATCATTCAACTCCCAATAGGACACACTAGTCTATTTTTTTTAATCATAGTTGGGCTTACCAACTTCGTTCAAATAGCTGTCTTACTTCCCCTGCTGAAATAAAACTTGCCCCAACAGCTATATTGATGGGACCCTTCCTCTGGATTATCATCACTCATGCTCAGCCGTAATTTGGATATTGTCAACCAATGTTTCTAGCCAAGAGCATTTCAAAATAATGTATATAAATTGCGTCTTATTGATCACTGAACATCTGCTAGTACTTAAGTGTGTTGACACAGAAACATGAACAGAAATTTGCAAGTTTGCATATCTAATGTTCATAAAATTATAATTTACAATAAAACAAACACTGCAATGCTTTTTTAAAATCACCTTCATAAAGATTAAGTGATATAACCAGGAGTTTTGAATTACAAAACCATTAGAAGAACATAAAGGGCTAAGGCTTTTGTTTTGTTGTGTTTCCCAATGATTTGTGGAAGGAAAACTTCATTATTTTTCTCTGACACTTGATATCATCTAGTTGCATTCTGGCACTTGTATGATGAAAAATAAATTTGCCAAATTATAATTACTGAGATCTGAAATTATTCAATAAAACAGTATTTTCTGAATCCATATGCATATATATCTATCTCCTGATTTTAAGATTTCAGGATTCCATGATAAGATTAGTGCAACTCATTTCTCGGGACATGTTTTCCAGCTTGGCACAAGCAGAGTAGAGCACTGTTTTTAAATAGAACACCTGTCCAAAGTCTCAACCCCTGTGGTAAGTGCTGTTAATACAATTATTAATATAATTATTAAAAGTTTACAGCTGCAGCTTTTCACACAGATAATAAGATAACCCACCTCATTTATCTTGCACAGATAAACAGTGCACAGGTGCTGACCTCCCTAGTGCTGCTCAAAGTCTAGGGAAGACTGGTGACTTCATTGGAGGACACCCTCCCCACCTCAGGTTCCAGAAGTTCAGGGACAGCTCATTCACAAGGGCATGCATGTGTTGAGAAGCAGCAGTGCTATGGGCCTACGCTTCCTTTGCTCTCTTTCCACAGCCAAGGGAAAGCCCACTCTTGTAGAAGGCACATGGTGGTCTCCCAGGAGGCCTGGAAGAATACATGCCACGTATATTACACAACAGGAGTCATACTTGGAAAATACGGATAGAGTGTTGCTTTCATCAAACCCTAGAGTCGCAATCCCAGAAGATGCTCTATACCCACAAGACAGAGGAAGAAGTGCCATTGTGGAAAGTCAAAAACACAACCCCAGGGATGTGTATCAGACAGAACCAGAAGTAAATGAAAGGCTTCCAGGACTGAGAGAAAGTGGATGGAGCAGAAATAGCAGAAGCAAACCATCAGACCCAAGGGTCCAGCGCACTGTCCTCGCTATGGACAGACTTAGCACTGGGTGGAGCTGGGCTTCAGGCAGGCTAGGGAAACGCTGGAAGTTAAGGGTCTGAACTCTGATTTACCAGAGACCCCAGGGGCAACTCCCCTTACTGATCTTGCTCTTCACAGTGGAGTGAAAATAGCAGCCAAGGTAAAGTAGGCAGAGGAGCGTCCTACTCTCTCTCTCCCTTGACTCCCAGGAAGGGTGGTGAGTGGAGAGCCAATAGCCCTGCCAAGGACCTGTGGTGCTAAGGAGTAAGGGGGTCCCACCAGAAAGGTCAGGTAGAAGTCAGAGTGGACATTCAGAGGGGGCTACTGTACCAGCAGGAGCCAAGAAAATGTCCAGCTGGCTTCCAATCAGCAGCACCAATGTGTGTCCAGAGATAAGCTCAGAAAGCTTACAGAGAAAGTGGAGAGGAAGGGAGTGGGAGGAGCCAGGGGAGAGGGTGGAGCCTGAGCAGGGATTGAGTTGTGCAAGATGGAACCCAAAGAGGAAAAGGCAAAAAAGAACAAAAAGGAAAAATGAAAACAAGGCCAGCCCAAGTGGAGGGAGAAGATGGGCGTGGCAATGATGAAGAGCTGATCCTGGGAATTACGGTGGAGGTGTAACTGACAGGACCTTGAGGGTCAAGCAAAGACATCCAGGATTACTTAGCGCATTCCCAAGGCACAGTGACAGTGACCCTTCGCTTCTACTGGGGCTTTGACTCATACTTTCAATACCTTGCAGGAATTGCCCCCTTCTAGGGAGGCTGACCTGGGTATGGTCAGAGCTCCTGGGACCTGAAAGGAGGTGTTCAGACCACAGGACTCATAAGTGGTGGGGACAGGATGGGAGGGCAGGCTGTGTGCCCAGGAAGGCCCTCCTCGACAGCTTCCCAGCATGGAGGTGGAAGCCACAGGGTCCCAGCTTCAGATCTTTAATCAGGATAAACCTTTCATTCAGTCGGGATGGGGCGTGGGCAGTGGTGGGAAGAAAGATTCAGAATATATCATAGCAAAATCTAGGATTTAAAACTATTCATTAAATGACTGCATGTCAAAGGCAATTACTTCATAGTCAATTGTATGTCAGACCTCTTTGTTTCTTGGTTTGGTCCTTTTGCATGTTCCTCCTAAATTTCACACCGCAAGGGGGTGGGGAACACATTTGCATTTGTCCTTCCCTTGACACAAGTTCGGCTTAGCACCACCCTCAGTCAATAACTTCATGACGGGATCCTGAGGCCACTGGTTGTAAAATACGCAGCCAGCAGAACTGCTGGTTCTTAAGAAATGCACTCAGCATCATTGCCGGTGAGGAAAAATAACCTGTGGGAGGAGAATGGGAGGAGGCTGATTTGTGTGTTTTTCTTCATTCATTCATTCATTCATTCATTCAATAAATATTTGTTGAGTACCTACTGTGTGCCAAGCCCTGCTTGGGACATGTCATGTGCACAACACATAAAAATCCATGCATCTCCCAGGGACAGACCAAAAGAAGAACAAGTGAGTGACTTGTACTGTGTATCAAAGTGACTAGTGTCCAGGGAAAACAAAAAATAAAGGAACAGAGAGATCAGGATGGAGCAGTGGGAATGAGGAACTTCTAGTGTTACGTAGGATAATTACAGAGGATGGCATTTGCGCAGCGGCAAAGGTGAGGGAGTGAGCCCGCTGCACAGGGAGGAGCAGCCTGGAGTGCTGAGGGCAGAGTGAGGAGGCCAGGGAAGCTGGGTGGAGGGAGCTGGGCCAAGGGCACAGTAAGATGTGAAGTCAAGATGTGAAAGGTTGGAGAGGAGTATGGACTGTGGGAAAGGTTAGGGCTTCACTCTCAGTGAAATGGGGAGCCCTTGCCAGGCCAAAAGCACGGGACTGTCATGATCTTTCTTTGTCCTAAGAATATCTTGGACCAGACAAGGCTAAGCTACTGTAACAACCCAGGAGAGAGACGATGGTGGCTAAAGCTAGAGTAATCATCCCTCCCTCCCCCGGTGTAGTGCCTGCCCCGTGTCATTCCAGAGCTGAGAAATAAGCAACCAAAGCAAACTCTCCATGATGAGTCAGCACAGGGGAGACCAATGCTGGGAAAGGCAGGAGATATTGTCACACACTGTGCAAATAGCAACACCAAGAAGAATCAGGCCCTCAGACCAGCCCGTTATGAAACAGTGCCCCACCACCCAGACCACATCGCATGCAAACATGCCACCAGCACCTGCATTATCGAAACTTCTGTCTTTCTGACCTGCTGACACCTAGGTAAGCAATCAAGTGTGTCTTTACACCATGCTGGAATTTTCCACAGGATTTGGAGTTAGATCTAATCTTTCCCCAGATGATTCCTTCCCTCATGTGAAATGACTTGGTTCCTGGTGAAGTGACTCCATCTATCCACTGATCAGGTATGGAAGAGATTCACTTTGTGCTAAGCGATTGCCAGAGCTGCATGTCTAAGGTATAGTTCCTGCTAAGCCACACTAAAAGTATTTTGCATTTGTGTTTTTCTATAGACATTATTACAAATATGTCTTCACATTTTCCATTATTTCCTGAAGCAATTTCTTCTGCTGGTATTTTAGTTATAAAATGCTTTATCCATTTTAAAACTGAATTTTTTTTATATGAAATTTTGACTCCCCTGTGCTAAAATACTGACTGATACAAAGGCCTTTGCCGGCTAAAGGAAACAAACATTCCTGAAAGTTTTATAAGAAAGATCCACATAGTTTTTGCTACACAGCTCACCTAGAACTACAAAGCTGAACACGCAGAATGTGCAGGAAAATCCACATTTTATTCTCACTGTTTTGTGTCAATGGTTCCTTACGTTAGATTATTTAGAGCTCATTTTCTCTGGCTGCCCCTCTGAGGATGAAGAGCCTATAGCCTTCTTCCTCTGGGCTTTAGAGAAAAGAGAGGGATAATCCTGGACTTGCAGGGCCTCTACTGTCTCTGCTGCAGTTCTTTCTCTGATTCCCACGTAGGTGAAGCCAGCTGTTAGGGGAAGCATGTTGCATAGTGTAGCCTGGAAACCCACCTCCTCTGATGAGATAGCTCGCATGCTGACATCTTGAAGTACTTTATGAGTTCCACGGAGCATCTCATAACTGCCCCCGAAAGATTGGCCAGTGACCTCCATTCCAGAGATGTAGTTTTGGGGACTGTCAAGGTCTCATGTGATGAAAGAGCAGTTCTTTCTTTTTTTTTTTTTTTTTTTTTGGTTTTTGGTTCTTCTCCGGTACTGGGAACCGAACTCACGACCTTGCGCTTGCCAGGCAGGCGCTTTTGCCGCTGAGCTAAATCCCCAGCCCCCAAGAGCAGTTCTTTCATGTGACAAATATTTAGTAAACATCTGCCACATGCCTGCAGCTTGCAGCCCACGACCTGCTCTCCAGTGGCTCCAAAGTGCTACAACTGGTCAGCCTTCTGTCCTAGGCAGAGCATCAGTAGGCTCACTCGGAGAGCCTAACCCTGGGGCCACCCTATGTGGATCCCCCTCAGTTCTGCTGCAGACCAGAAAGGCCTAGCATAGGGAAACTGGGGATATCCCCTTCTGTTCTGTGAACTGTGTGGTGAGTAGGAAACCCCTGTATACAAGGCCTGGAGTCAGTCAGTGTGGGTTCCAGTGACAGCTCATCACTCGCTGGCTGTGTGTGAGCTTGCACACATCACCTTACTTCCCTGAGCCACGGTGTCCTCATGGGTAAGGTGGGGTTGGTGAAACTGTTGACTTCACAAGCCTTTTGGGACGATTCAGTGAACCCTCATGCACGGTACAGGGCCTGATACATAACAAATGCTCAGACAACGCTCCATTGTCCTATTGAGAATCGATTCAAACTGTCACATGGTCCTGGGCAGCATCTGTGCTTGTTGGTCATTGATTTGGACAGACCTGGGGCTAATGACATAAGAAATAAAATATGCAGGAACACTGCAATGACCAGATTTGTTTTGCCTACCTCCAGTGGTTCCAGTTTTGGAGGCAAGGAAAGCAAAATGCTTCATTTTAGAGCAGGAGCCACACACAGAACCAATGGGACAGTGCTGGCATTGCTGTTGCTGTTGCTGCCATTTTATATTGAAATGAACTTGTCATTGTCCTGTGGCAGGACTCACCTGCGTTCACCAAATCCTGGACCCCTTGTGGCCTCCGCCATCCTCGTACTTCCCCTGCCTTGCTCTGAAGACTTCGGAGGTCTAGCAGTACCTTGCTTTGTTGTACACCTAGAGGAGCCAGGGCAATGACAGGACCCTCTCAAAGTCCAATTGTAATGTAATCCAGACTCTTTAAAAGTTCCACCACTTTGGTCAAAACTGAAGACCCATTTGTCTATCTTCATCTTGGCTCTGAGCAAAGGCTTCAGTGTGGTTCTACAGGGTTGACATTTGGACTGCAGAGGTACTGCGACAAGCAAGGCAGGGAAGCTCTTATCCTGCCTGGCTGGCCTTTTCTCAGTGGTGTGCAGTGGACCTCAAATCCTGTGAGTGACTTTTCTCCAGACGTGGATAAGAGGCCATTCTTTTTGTGCATTCTCCTGTGGACTCCGGTTGATGTCTTGCCAATGCAGCAGGATGCATCCCCACTCCAGATGGGCAGGAGTCCAAGAAATGCAGTTCTGTGTTTGTCCAAGCCAGATAGTTGAGGAAAAGCCCTGAAGCAAATGTACAGTTTATATTTCTCACTGCAGATAGAGAGTCTCTTATTTCTCAGCAACAGGACAAGCCTGAGGCAAATTCAGTTCAGTGAAGAACAATACTTTTCCCAATCTGCAGGGTCCTACACTGCGTTCGGCCCTCTTTCATCCTCCCAAGGCACTGGTGTTTGTCCCATGTCTCATACATTCCCCTCTCCTGCTTCAGGACTTGTGTGGCCCTGGGAAAGCAAAATGATTTTTAGTGTTAGTTTATAACAAACTTAATCTGGAGGGCAAATCTCCAGCTAACAACGACGCAACAGAAAGGTCACTCGATTACTTCCAAAGTCAAACAGAACAAACATTTGTGGTATCAGAGTTCTCTTCTGCGAGAGCTGCCCACAGAGGAGTGAGTCTTGCTGTTCATAGAAGAAGGCTTTGGTGTATAAATCCATGCTGAAGGCTTCACTTAATGAATCCAGAGTGTCGTTAGAGGTTGCTCTCCCTCAAACCAAGTTTGAATTGGATGAAGAGTGTGACTCACAAAACAGGTTTTATTTAAGGGATTTGGGATCTTGATTTTAAATGTATGTTATGGGTATGGGAAAAGAAAGAATAATCATGGGTACATATTCAGCATAGAAATCCAGAACGCATTCCAGCTGTAGGATTTGTGTTGTTATTGGCTAGACTTGTTCTTGGGTTGGGGAAGTGGGGCCAGCTATCCAAATCATCCCTGTGGAACTGTACTTCCCACATTTGTTTTTTTAAACATAACAACAAATGCTCATACATTTAAAAGAGAGAGTTAAACACTGCCTTTATTTTTTTTCGTCAGGCAGTAATTTAACCCTAAAATTTTCAACTCTGGTCTTCTAACTTTACCAGTAAGGAAAGAAGAAAAATGCTTGGCTTTTTGTTTTCTTTTGTTGTTTTTGGTTTGTTTGGTTTGGTGGAGTTTTTGGTGGTACTGGGCTTTGGACTCTGGGGCCTTTACCACTGAGCTACATCTCCAGCTCTCTTTTATTTTGAAACAGGGTTTCACTAAGTTGTTCATGCTGACCTCAAACTTGTAATCCTTCTGCCTCGGCCTTCTGAATAGCTGCAATTACAGGCATGTGCACCATTGTGTTGGACTAAAAAAACCTTAGTTTTTGCTGCAAACTTCATAACTTACATCCTGTTTAGAAACATTCAAGGGCTTCTTCTAATAAATGCTCCAATGCTTTCCATTCCCCTACCTGTCCCCAGTACACATAGGTTTGGGTTTTTTTGTACATTGGTTAGTGTGATTCAGAAATGGAAAACTCCAGTAAGAATCAACTTAGAATGTCAGGCTCAGATGAAGACCCAAAGGCAAGACCATGCCTGAGCCTGTGTCTTGGTTACTTTTCTCTCGTTGCTGGGACAAAATACCTGACGCCCAAAATTAAGGAAGGAAATGTTTATTTAGCTCACAGTTTGTGGAGGTTTCAGTCCATACTTGGCTGGCTCCAAGGCAAAGTGGTACATGGCAGACGGCAACAGTTCGTGGTGGCAGAAGACAGCAAAAGCAACAAGAGCAAAAAGGGGAAGGGGAAGCAAGCCTCTTTTCCTCCCTACATTGTGTGCTGGCTATCCACCCATGCCCACACCATCTCTGTGCCCTCCTCTTGCACAGGCTCAGGATGAGTACCAAAAAACATCCCAGAGCAGAAAGGGTATGTCCTTTTCACCCTAGGATGTAGAAATGCTGAGCCTTTTAGCCAAGCCTCTAGACTCCTCAGGTTGACACAATGTATCAGCCATAACTATCCACCTCTTGTCAAATTGGCAACCAAGGACATTTCTTTAAACCAGTTTCCAGGGGCTGAGGATTTAGTTTAGCGGCACTGCGCCTGACTGGCAAGTGCGACATCATGAGTTCGATTCCCGGTACCGGAAAAAAACAAACAAACAACAAAAAAAAAAAACTAACTAAACCAGTTTCCAGTTACAAACACATTAGAACCCTATACATTTCTCCCCTGGCCCCTCAGAGACTCATGTACATCCCTTTATGTAAAAGACATTTTAGTCCATCTCTAAGAGTTGCCAAAGTCCTTACAGTTTCAGCATTGATGAAGAGTCCAAGTCCCAAGATCTAAGACAAACTCTTAGCTGTGAGCCCTTTTAGAAATGAAAAGTTAAACACTTCTAACATTCAGTGGCACAAGATAACATTACCATTCCAAAAGATACAAACAGGAAGATACAAAGCATTGGGACCACAGCGAGTTCAACATCCAGCAGGGCTAACATTATGTCCTGTGGTTCCAGATTCAACATCTGTGGCAATCTGTGGCAAATTGTGAGCTCCATGTGGCTTTACCTCTGTGGCACTTCTGGTGGTTGTAGCTCCCATGGCTTCTCCCTTAGGTCTGCTTTGCTCCCTCCTTGCAGCTTTCCATAGATGATCAATGTTTCTGGCTTTTCCAGTCTTCTGAGATCTCCCCTGCACTTTAGGTTTCTCACTCACAGCTTCACACACTGCCCTTTCAGGGGCACACAGCTTGTCCTCCCAGGTCTTTTTTATAAATCTGAGTGGAAGCCTTCTTAACCTCAGAACTCTTGCATTTTCCATGCACCCACAGCCAGGGCATGTGGATGATGCCCAAGTCTGATGCCAGCTGGAGCAGTAGCCAGGCTTTCTTCTCAAAGCAAAGTCTTTCACATTCACAGTTTTGAGGCTGGAAAGGGTGGAGACTTGTTGCTCTTAGGGATGCCCTCACCTTTTCTATTCTCCT